TCCCTTCCTCACACCCTCTTTTCCTTCCTTCCTTCCCTTCCTCACACCTCTTTTCCTACCTTCTCTCCCTTCCTTCACACCCTCTTTTCCTTCCTTCTCTCCCTCCCTCCCCTCCTCTCTTTTCCCTCCCTCCTTCCTTCCTCGATCCCTTCTTCATCTCCCAGAATCTCCAACTGGCTGGGACAACTGGGAAATGGATGAATTCTGGACGGTGCCAAGCTGGGGAAGGCCGTCTCCTCCCGCTCTTCCACCCATCCGTCTCTTTTTTCTGGACCCAACTCTGAAGACGTTCCTTCATCCAATGGGTGGGGGGTTGAGGAGAGGAAAGGAAGAGAAGAGAAAACCTGCTGCCTTCTGTCAAACTTCCAGACCAAGCGGGGCTACTGCAACCGAAGCCTCCTCAGGGGGCTTGGGGCTTTCAAAAGAATGAGTTTTTTTTGTTCTTCCTGGTTATAAGAAAGACTCATTCTAACATCTCCCTGCACAAAACAAGGGAAATAAATGTTCAGAGCCGTTTATTTACTTGCTCCGACACCCGAGGACGGTCCAGAATTCTATTCATTCATGATTTCTAAATGAGTCATTTGCCTACAAAGGACGCTATTCAGCCTAACAGCTTCCCCCCCCCCCCCCGCTTTCTTCTTCTTTTCTTTCTTCCCCCCCTTTTTTTAAAAGGTAGCTAATTATGTCTTTTCTTCTTTGTCCAAATCCAAGGCGCAACTAAGATGTTTGGCCAGAGGACCCTGGCTGGGTTGGTCGGTCACAAGGACGGATGTGTTTTCCTCAAGAAATGAACTCATCGCAGGTGGCCAAGATGGAAGCAAACCAGCATCAGCTCTCCCTGCAGACGGAGGTTACGTCGCTGCGGCCTCTTCATTCAGAAAACCCAAGTTCCCCTCCCCGCCCCAAAATAGGAGATTTCGGAGGACTTACGGCCAGAATTCTCCTCATTCTTGACTTCTGGCCACCAAAGATGGGTTTTCTAATGGGGCAAAAAAGCTTGGGTAGGACGTCACCACCGCAAAACACTTCCATCAAGTTTTAGCAAATACAGGCCAATCCTTGACTTACAACTTCTTGTATAGGGACCGTTCGAAGTTTACAACGGCGCTGGAAAAAAGTTGTGACCATTTTTCACACTTACGACCGTTGTGGCATCCCTGCGGTCAAAGTTTGGAGGCTTGGCGACCGACTCAGATTTACGACAGTTTGCAGCATCCAGGGGTTTCGTGACACACATACACACAACCTTTTGCGAACTTCCGACCAAGCAAGCAAAAAGTCCTTGGAAATAGCCAGATTCACTTAACAACCCGTGTTGCTAACTGAAACGCAGCAGCGATTTGCTTAACGGTGGCGGGCTAAGGAATGACGTCAAGTGAGGCGAAGCCGACTTTGGCGACGGTCTCGCCCAGCAAGAGGCAACCTGGGGCCTGGATGGTGGCCGCTGGCCGAGGAATCGCCGGGACCAGCGGAAAGAAAAGGCGATGGTTTCGCTTTGTTATGAGAAAATGCTCGTCTCTGTCGGTCGCCAGGTCTGCGTGCATAGAGGGGAATAAATATCTGATTTTATTTAAGCGACGTAAGGAAAACCTGGAAGGTTTGCCTACGTTTCGAACGAGGAACAACAGTAACATTCCAAATGGCTCTTCTCGCTTAAAGGCAGCAGATGTTTCTCCGCTGTCAAAATTTATCGTTGTAGATTTTGGGAGTCTTCGCTTTCCAAAACAAGACAGCCAGTTCCAAAGCACAGCTGGAACTGCTGGAACAACACAAACAAAAGCTGCGCCACCATTTCGTTTTTAATGGACCCGAGAGCGAAGATTCTCTTTTATCAAAACAAGCCTTTTTCCTTCCTAATCCTGTCCTGTTTCAAAAGGTTGTTATACACCCAGGAATGGGGCAACTATGGCCCAGCTCAGAATTCAGAATAAGTTGGAAGGGACCTTGGAGGTCTTCTAGCCCAACCCACTGCTCAGATTATTGTCTGCTCAGGAAACCTGCCATCTCACTGCTCAGGAAACCTTAAACATTTCAGACAAATGGTTGTCCAATCTCTTCTTTCAAAACTTCCAGTGTTGGAGGATTCACAATTTCTGGTGGCAGGCAGTTCCACTGGTTAATTGTCCTCACTGTCAGAAAGTTTCTCCTTAATTCCAGGTTGCTTCTCTCCTTGATGAGTTTCCATCCGTTGCTTCTTGTCCTGCCTTCAAGGTGCTTTAGAAAAGAGGTTGACCGCCCCTCTCTTCTCTGTGACAATCCCTTAAATATTGGAATACCGGTAGTCCTTGACTTACAACCTCAATTGGGCCCAGAATATATGTTGTTAAGCAAAACATTTAAGTGAGTTTTACTCCATTTTACAACATTTCTTGCCACGTTTTTTTTAACTAAATGCAATCCTTAAGTGAATAACAGTTAAGTGAACACAGACTTTGCTTGTCTGAAGGTCGTGAAAGGTGATCACATGAACCCAGGGCCCTACAAACGTCATAAATGTGAGTCAGCTGCCAAGTGTTCTGACCCAAGCTTCCTAAATCGTAATTACACACACAGCTATTTTAAAAGCAAGGCTTTGTTTATTGCAACGCTGGGAATTGTTGTCATTCCCAGCCGGAATTAATTTAAATAATCCCCCAAGATAAGCACCCACCTTTCAGTTCTGTGAAGTGCTGCCAAAAACAGAAGTCTCGAATGAACTAGAGAAGAAACCAACCGAAGTACAAGAAAAACCAACTGAAATACCAAAGAGCTTCAAGGATGACTTGGAACTGATCGAACTACTTTGCTTCCTGCAAAGGTTTTGTCATCTTGGCCTGACTTGTATCCCCTATGGGAGGGGCAATCACCTCCCAGCCTTACTCCCAAGTCACCCCTTTTGTCTCAGCTGATCTTGCCTTCTAGCAGCTCTGCGCATACACACGCACACACTGGGAACAGGCTCCCCGGGGTCCTCTGCCTCGCTGCTGCCAGACTCCAAAGGCTCCGAAGGCAGCACCCCACTCCCAGAAGATCCTGGCCCCATTTCTGCACCAGACGCAGGACCCTCCTCCGTCTGCACCGGCTGCCGGCGAACCACAACACCAAGTGGCTGAATTTTGATCATGTGACTATAAGGATGCTGCAACATTCATAAGCAGGGAGTGGGCTCTACTGGTTCATACCGCTTCATGCGAATCAGTTGTTAATGTTATGGCGAATCCCACCCCTAGCTGGCCCCGCCCCGCCCCACCCGTCAGGAATCCCTGTGTGACCCATTTTGGATCTCAGGTAAGTGCAGGGCCCATGTGGAGGCTTGAGGACGGCAAAAAACTCGGGCCTCCTGGAAGTTCTGGATGTAGGCTTGTTTCCAGCCTCCAGAGAGCCTCTGGAGCCTGGGAAAGCTGTTTTCGTACTCCTGGAGTCTCAAGGATAGCCTCCGGAGCCTGGGCAGGGTGAAAAACGAGCCTCCCGGAAGTTCCAGAAGGCCGGAAATGGGCCCATTTCCAGCCTCTTGAGATCGTCCAGAGACAAGGGGTGGTGAAAAGGCTCCCCCACCCCCCCACCCAGCACATATTCGCTCCCAGGTCCAGGGTGGTGCAGGAGGCCGACTTACATGGTCACGCCCACCCAGCAACTGAGCAGAGAACAGGTTGTTAAATTTTTTGAAGCCCACCCCTGCTCGTACGTGTAAAAAAAATTTTTTTTCAGTGCTGTTGTAACTTTGTGTCAAGAGTGATGATTTAGCAACCGCAATAGCACTTAAGACTTATATACTGCTTTATAGTGCTTTCACAGCCCTCTCTAAGCGGTTTATAGAGTCAGCATATTGCCCCCAACAATTTGGGTCCTCATTTTACCCACCTCGGAAGGATGGAAGGCTGAGTCAACCTTGAGGCCTGGTGGGATTTGCACTCTAACCACTGTGCCACAGAGGCTCCTCAAGAGCTGACCAGCTGCTACGATGATGTAATACTGGGAATGAGTCAGCAAGGTTTTTGGGGGCTGATATCACTTTAAGAGCCTGTAAGAATAAGAGGCCCTGTTGGGGCATATATCTCTCTCTCCCCGTGTGTGCTTCCGTGCTATAATTGCTGATTGCTGTTTGTTTGAGGTCTGACTAAACTACCTGTATGTATTCTTGTATTCCTTGTAGATAAAACCAATACTTAAATACAAACCTCTGTTTATAGTATTGGCTCCTTGGTTGTCTCGCATAGTCACACTGGGCGCATTCTGACACTTTGAATGGTCACTAAATGAACTGTTAAGTCGAGGGCTGCCTGTATTGCTACAGTCCTCCTTTTCATTAAATGCCCAATTCCTGCAACCATTCAGCCTCCAGTCCCCTAATCATCTTTGTTGCTCTTCTCTGAACATCTCTGGATTTCTCTGTACATCTGTGGACTTCAACTCCCAGAATTCCTGACCCAGCCACTAAAACCAAGTGCTGTCTTACCCATCCCTGAATCCTTTTTGGTACCATCCGAGATGATGTCCACGTGGTCACTGTCCACGTCGCAACTGAAAAAATCGTTCAAGTACGTTTTCGACCTTTGTCCGCCAAACATATACAGGCAACGGTTTTTCTAGAAGGGAGAGGAAAAAGGAAGATATACACGGTGTCGTTCATCGTACGAAGTTTTTAGGTGTGATCTAGAACAGTGGTCCACAACCTTTTTTGTACCAGGGACCAGTTTCACGCAGAAACACTTTTTCAAGGACCGGGGTGGGGGTGGGGGAGAGAGAGAGAGACACTTTTTCTAGGAGGGGGGGAGGGGGAAGAGTCCGAGTTTGGTGGTTTGCTTGCAGACGTTTCATTACCTGACTAGATAACATCTGATGTTGTTACCTAGTCGGGTAATAAAATGTCTGCCAGCAAGCCGCCAAGTTCAGGGAGGCTCAGGACAAGTCCCTGCAGGATGGCTGAGAAGCCCCGCCTCTCAGCCCCGCCTCCCTCAGCCTTATCCCTCAGGTGTCTGCCTCGTTCCTCTCTCAGTCGCTCTCTCGCTCCTCCACCAGCCCAGGAAGAAACTGCTTCAAAGAAGCCGGCAGGGTGGCTTTTCCTGTCGGCGTAGCTCCTCCGAAGCGCCCGTTCACCCCCACACAGCCGCCCGCGGTTCAATCCAGTGCTCCGTTCTGCCTGCCTGCCTGCCTGCCTTCGTTTCTGGTTGTTTCGGAGCAGCTTCGGCTGAGTAAAAGAGGCGAAGCTGCTCCGAAACAACCAGAAACAAAGGCAGGCAGAACGGAGCACTGGATTGAACCGCGGGCGGCAGGGTGGGGGTGAACGGGCGCTTCGGAGGAGCTGCGCCGACAGGAAAAGCCACCCTGCCGGCTTCTTTGAAGCAGTTTCTTCCTGGGCTGGTGGAGGAGCGAGAGAGCGACTGAGAGAGGAACGAGGCGGGAGGTAACCGAAGCCGCTGAGCCGGAGAGCAGGACGGGCTTTGGTTGCTTCCTCCCTCCCCTTCTTTCATTTGTGTCCTTGATCCCTGATCCCAGCAGCATTCACCGAAGGCGAAGAAAGCCGCCATTTTTTTTTATTTTTTTTTTCTTTGCGGCCCGGTACCAAATGATCCACGGACCGGTACCGGTCCGCAGCCCGGTGGTTGGGGACCCCTGATCTAGAATACAGGTACCGTATTTTTCGGAGTATATGACACACTTTTTCCATACCCAAAGTGGGCGGAAATGTCTTATATAGTGAATGTTGCTAAAGCCCCACCCACCCACCGGCCCCCAGGTTCTGCCACAGCTCCTACAATTCCCTACAATTAACACAGGGGCTAAGATTATAGAAGAAACTTAAGCAGTCCCCACAGAGGGCTGGTCCTTACTGAATGGAATAACATGCAGTGTCCTATTCTGGATTGGACGTCTTCAGGGCCAGCATTACACGAATCTTCTCGCAAGAGTTTCCATGTCCGGCACTGACAGTCAAAAGCAAAGAGGCCGCTGAATTGTGGTTCACTGGCTCGGCTGTCGTCCACGCTGCCGTTGCATGTCAAAATCCTTCCCCCGAAGGTGTAGATCATGTGTTTCTCTGAATCCATGCACATCTGCAACAAATGGGAGGCATTCTTAGTCAATACGGTTTGATAGCATGAAAAAAAAACAAATGTTGTTTTTAAAAAAAAACTTTAAATCAGCAGTATTCAACTTTGGCAACTTGAAGACTTGTGGACTTCAACTCCCAGAATTCCCCAGTCACCATGGTTGACTTGCATCACAACCACCCTGGATGTCGCAAACCCATCCTTACCAGTACAAATACAATTAACCAAGGTTCCAAGCGCTCTTAATCCTAGGGTGTGATTGATACTGACCTGATGGTCGAACACAAGCTTGGGGCCTCCATCGGTGGCTGTGTCTTCGCTCAGCAACATCCAGGTGTTCGTGTCGATGTCGTAGCGATAAAAGTCGCTTTTCAGAGATTTGCTGTTCCTCACAGAGGAATCCAGGTAACGTCCCAAGGTGTAGATCTGCCTTCGCTGGATGTCGATGCACATCTTGTGACAGGACCGAGCGGTTGGGCCGTTCTGGAGAGAAGAATGAATGGAAAATGGGTTAGGCCAGATCACAAGCCAGGATCGGGACTCTGCAGAACCTGGGAGTCAACGGTATTTCATCAGTGAAAGTCACGCAGAGAGAATGTGGGGTTCTTGCGGTGTTTTGTTATGTGTGATAGGAACAGAAAAATAATTAATTCCCTCTGGCATTGTTTTTTTTTTTTTAAAGAAAAGCTGCAGATCGCTCCTGTCAGAAATGTTTTCAGATCTTCAATTAACCTAAAACTCTCTTTGGGGAAACTGGCAGAAGATCGCGATACTGTTAAACGATAACAATAAACGATAAAAGATTCACCAAGGCAATGTTCTCATTCGCCTTCTGCTCTTCCCTGTGCAAAGGGAGGAGATTAGAAACCACAATCATCATCCTCTTTTAACGACCCCATAATCCCTTATGGGGTGGAGTCTGGGCAACTGGGATGGAACAGAGTGCTTACTTGCCGGATGCTCTTCCTGTCGCCAATAGGAAGGGTTTTTGTTTTTTTTCCAGCAGATATATTATCAATGTGCCCAGAGAGAGAAATATCTGCCTCTACCTAGGATTGAACTCACAACCTCCCTATTGTGAGACGAGAGTTCCACCTCTAGGCCACCGCACCACTCATTAGAAAACCACAATACTGTTGTCAATTCATAAAATATTTCTATGGTCTTTTTAGAGTTGGCCAAGCGAAAGGGAGGGGGAGCAGTGCAGCCGCTTGCAAACCAAAACTGCATACCATAAATGTTTTCAAAGATAGTAACTAGGTGACTGAAGTTTCTGCCGGGCGAAATTCTAACTGGAGAGCATGACTGATGACTCTGGGGTCTGGGGGTATGGATGTGTCCCATTGGAGAATATGAATTATGATACACCCAGGGCATGTGGGGGAAAACCAGGGTCAAGGGTGACAATCAATGATGTGTCTCAGAGTCGGCTACACCCAGGCAGGGCCGGCATGTTCACTCCCAATAAATCCTTTTGAAGTTTTGGAAGTTTGGCTCGAGACTCATGATTGAAATAGGAGTAACTGCCGGAGCCCTGTGACAACCGTGTTAAAATTTGCAAGGGGCAGAACCACTTTGAGGCGCAGAGGTTTCGGCAGAACAAAAACTCTATGATTCACTGCAACCTGGTGTTTTCCATCACTGGAAGATTCACCAAGAGCAGGAAGACACCTTAGGATGTTTCTAGACCTGGCCTACTCTCAGATGCCACCGGATGCTTCTTGTGTTTTGCTAATATGTGGTAACACATTGCCACGAACTGTGGGGGAATTGGAATAAAGGGGAGGGAAATACTTGGGGAAACGAAAGTAAATGCTGTATCTCCTCACGGTGCTGCCTCAAGGTCACCCAGCTGGAAGAAGTACATTGCTGCGTACTAAATTATGCTTGGGCTGACCGCTATGAAAACCTCTTGCCTGAACCTGATTGGTTGCACTGGGGTGGACAATGAGAGACAGCGAAGGGAGGGAAGGTTGAACTTCGGGATTTGGGCACACGGTTCTCCTTTCTGGCTTTGCATTTCTGCAACGCACGTAATTTCTAATAAAATTATATCTGTTGTGGCCTGTCAGCGGCCAGCAGAGCTGGCGGCAGACTCAGACAGTGAGGAGGTTGGGACAGTCCTGGAGTTTGGGGAAGACTCTGATGAGTGCTCTGCGTCAGAGGCAGAGATGGGGCCAAGGCTATCTGACAGTTATCAGTTGCCTTCGGAGTCAGAGATCAGTGGGGCAGAAGAATAGCTGGAGCCTGTTCCCGATGTGCGCATGCGCAGAGCTGCCAGACAAAGGGAACAGTTAAGGAACAAAGGTCAATGCAGGAGTAAAGGCACAGGTGGAGTATGAACAGCCCCTCCCTTAGGGAATAAAAGAGGAGTGAAAGGGGAGTGGGATTTGCAGGAGACAATTAGTTCATTTAATTAGGATGAAGATGCGTTCATGACTCCTTGCCAAGTAATTTCTTGTACAGAGTTGTGTTTAGAAGCTATCGGCCTGGCAACTCTCCCAAGCCTGATCAGGTCTGCAGTTGTAAATCTATCTTGAAAGACTGCTTGCTGGGACTTTGCTGGATGTGAATGAGAGGAATTCACATTAGCCTAAATTAAAAGGGGTTTTTGTCGGGACGAGGAGTCTGCTTCGTGATTTCGTGAAGCCTAAGTCAGAACAGTCTCTTTCTCAACCGAGGATAGTTTCCATTTAGAGGTTTACACTGTGGCAGGTCTGACACCTACCTACCTTTAAAGGAGGCGATGCTGGTATCTTTGTGGGCTGTCGGACTCTGGATGGAATGGGCTGAAAGTGAGCCCCAAAAGAACAGGATTCCATAAAGGGTTCAAGTCAGAGTTCTCCCTTGCGGCACAAATGACCAGGCTCAAATGATCTCATTTTGGACACATTATGCAAAGACCTAGCTCTTTGGAAAAGGCCTGATCCTGGGAAAGATGGAAGGAAAGAGAAGAAGGACAACTTTCCCATGGATGATCTCAGGGGATCTTGGTGCCTCTCTTGAGTTTGCTTGTTTTCTTGCAGAGGTTTCCTTACCCAAACTAAATAACATCAGTTCTAGCCCGGAACAACCAATAGTTGGGGAAACGAAAGTAAATGCTGCATCTCCTCGAGATGCTGCCTCAAGGTCGCTCTGCTGGAAGAAGAAAGTTGCTGCATACTAAACTATGCTTGGACTGACCGCTATGAAAACCTCTGTGCCTGAACCGGATTGATTACACTGGGTTGGACAATGAGAGACCGCTAAGGGAGGAATACAGATATTCTCCATTATGGCTAAGGAGAAATTTCCTGACGGCGAATACCATCTGTCAGCCTGCCCTCCTTTTATTCTCTAAGCTCAAATATTTCCCAATAAGTTAGGGGTCCTTGGTGCTTGGCTGTTTTCTTTCTGATGTTCCATTACCCAAACTAGGTAACTTCATGATGTTAACTAGTTTCGGTAATGAAACGTCTGACAGAAAACAGCCAAGCTTAAAGAGAGCATCAAGGACCCCCTCATTTCAACCCTGAGCTATGGATATTCCCCTCATATATGGTCTCTCTGCTAATGAATAGTTTCGCTTAAGCTATTCTAATAAAATGCATCCCAAAGTAACCAACTAAGCTGAGGAAGGTAGCTTATGAACGGACCTAAAGTATTTTCTATGTATGGAAGGTGAGAATTAACACGTCTTTACCCAAAATTTATTTAGCCAGGTGTAGTAGCTATTTGAGTAAACGGCAGTGAATCTGAATTTTTGCAGGCAATCACACCCGGGACAATAACTCCTGTTCTAATTTGGGAAGCAAGTTTTTAATCATTCATTTGTGCTACAAAACTAACGGAAGCGACGATTCAAAGCCATGCATTCTTAATGTGTTCTGGGATGCTACAGGCCCAGGCTTTGGAGAAATCTAACTAGGGATCTTTAGAGAGGAAATGTCCATGGAGATTCTCAGTCCTGTAGGTCGTAGTTGTCCCAAAGGTGCTTTTTTCAAGAGGTATCTGGGCTTCCGTGTTTCTCTCTGAAGACGTTTCACCTCTCATCCAAGAAGCTGCTTCAGCTCCGACTGAACGGTGAGGAATGGAAGAATTTATATTCCTTGCAGGCAGCTGGTCATTTGCGTTCTTTTTTAGAGAGCAATTGAGGCGACTTGGAGGTTTGTCTGTGTCCTCAGGGTCACCTGAGTGGGGCAAATGGGTATGGAGATTTCTTGGAACTGCTGAAAGGACTGTGTTATGGAGCTGTGCCTTCTGTGCTTTAGAGCACAGATCACCAACCAGTGGGCTGGGGACCACTGGTGGTCCATGAGAAAATTTTGGTGGTCCGCAGAGAAATGCCACCCCCAAAGCAATTAATCCAGGCTGCGTGGGAACACAAGGCTGCACCGCCCACATGGCCTGCGGGAACACAAGGCTTGCGTCACTTGCATTGCGAACAACACGAGGTAGTGAGGGGAGGGGGGAAAGGGAGATGGGGAGGAACTTGCCCCACGCATCTAGCCTGCCCATCGGGCTGCTTCTTTCTGCTTCTTTCTTCTTTTGCTTTTGGCTGCATGCAGGGAAAACAGCAACAGTCTTTCTTTCTCTCCCCCAAACTCTGCCAGAAATGAGTCTTTGGGATCCAAGAGGCTGCGCTGGCAAAGACTCGTTTCTGGCGGAATTTGGGGGAGAGAAAGAGAGACTTCTGCTGCTTTCCTTGCATGAAGCCAAAAGTCTCTCTCTGTCTCTCCCCGAGAACGGAGCTGGCGATCCCAAATAAAGAATGATCAATGAATAAGAAAATGGGGTGGGGAATTTTCCTGTAGACTTTTTCGGGGATTTTCCCAGGGTCTCTGGTCCACGTGATTTAAAATTATGAGTTTGGTGGTCCCTGAGGTCCAAAAGGTTGGCGACCCCTGCTTTACAAGGGAAAGGGAAGCACAAACAAATATGGCACTCAACTACACATTTTTTTTTGGCTTTGCTCAGGACATTAAAAGTTATATAACAGATAACAGATAATCAGAGTTGGAAGGAACCTTGTAGGTCATCTAGTCCAACCCCCCACTCAAGCAGGAGACCCTACACCATTTCTGACAAATGGCAGTCCAATCTCTTCTTGAAAGTCTCAACTGATGGCGCTCCCACAACTTCCGAGGGCAACTTCTGTTCCATGGGTTGATTGTTCTCACTATCAGAAAGTTTCTCCTTGTTTCCAGGTTAAATCTCTCCTTGTTCAGTTTCCATCCATTATTCCTTGTCTGGCCTACAGGCGCTTTAGAAAATAGTTTGACCCCTTCCTCCCTGTGGCAGTCCCTCAAATATTGGAAGACTGCTATCCTGTCTCCCCTGGTCCTTCTCTTTACTAGACTAGCCAAGCCCAGTTCCTGCAACCGTTCATTGTATGTTTTAGCCTCCAGTCTCCTAATCATCCTGGTTGCTCTTCTCTGCACTTTTTCTAGAGTATCAATATCTTTTTTATAATGTGGTGACCAAAACTGGATGCAGGACTCTAG